GGGGAAAAGGCAGCTCAGATAGAGAAGGGAACACCAAGTAAGGGTGTCTGGAGGACGCGCTCAGGATGTGAGATGAGTGCTGAATGTAGACTATAGACTGAACACTATAGTCACTCAATACCTCTATTGCAAACCACAGCACCCTAAAGAAAATAGAGAGCAAAAGGGAATGCACTGCCACAGAGGCGAGGCGGGGTGGGGGCAGGATGGGGGGCGGGAGGGCTACTGGGTTCATTGGTGGTGAAGAATGGAAACTGGTGATGGGATGGGTACTTGATCATTGGATACCTGAAGCCCAACTATGAAAGTTTGTAAGTCTACAACTGTACCTCATGGTGTTTCACTAAAAACAAAGATAATATTTTTAAAAAATTAAAGAGGTGTATGATGCCACCAGCAGGTCAATTTGTACCTATGAGGCGAGTGCATCAGCAGCCTGATGGCAACATCAGAATTTCAGATACCCCAAAATTGCTGCTGTGCCTTTGGCCAGACCCCAAAAACTTGGGGCAAAGTTTGCCAAGAAAGTAAACGGCCAAAAGGTAGGTATGTGGGAGACACACCCACATACCACCTCTGGCGCAGCTATATAATTGGAGGCATGGCCTCTCTGGTTCCTGATCAAACTGCTTAACAGCCATGATCCTAGAGACTCAGAAACAAATCTCGGAACTCAAATACTTCTTGGCAGAAATGCATCCTGTTCCTGCAGTAGGTGACTGGCACTGGGTCACTTCAGGTGGGAAAAGGTTTCGTGCCTTGGCCTGTTCCCCTTGGCGGGCCGGTGATGACCATCCTCCAGAGGCCACTGGACAGTCAGGTTTGGGCCTGCAGTGACGAGGCACACGGGGCCTCACCAGATGGGGGTGGAATCAGCCCTTTCCTCCCCATCCCAGTAAGAACCCAAGTCACCACCTACAAACGGCTTCTCTGGCTCCTGATCAAGCTAATTAACGGCCATAATCCCAGAGACTCAGAAACAAATCTTGAAACCCAGTGGCTTTTGGCAGAAATGCATCTGGACCGCATACAAGATGGCCGCTGCCTCAGAGCTTCTTGGAAAGCCAGGTATGAGCCGGCGGTGACAGGGAAACTGCAGTCTCATGGGAAGTGGGGAGGTACCGGCTCATCCTTCTCGCCCTACCGAGGTCATGAGTTCCCCCCACCAGCGGCTCTCCGGCACGGCTCCAGAGGCAAAAGGACTTAATCCAGAGCCTGGCAGCTTGAGGCAGAAAAGTGAATGGACCATGCATTAAACTATGGCCCCATGCTTCCCCGGGAGGGAAAGAGTGTTGCTCCCTTCTACCTTCCCCCCTCCCCCAAACCCCCAGTAGCAAGGTGGCTGCCGCCTCAGAGCTTATTGGAAAGCCAGGTATGGGCAGGGTGTGACGGGGAAACTGCAGTCTCATGGGAAGGGGGGCGGTACCAGCTTGTCCTTCACGCCCTACCACGGTCACGAGTTGCCCCCCCATGAGCGGCTCTCTGGCACAGCCATAACACCAGACGCACAATTACCAATCTTGTAATTATTTGGCTCTTTGCAGAAATCCAAAATCACAAGGCTGCTATTGCGGCCATGTGAGATTATATGATTCTCATAACCAGCTATGGAAAACCAAGTATTTCACAATGCCTTTTCAGCAATTCTGATTTTTGGGGGGGAAATTCTAAACAATAATGGTGCATCTTTTGTCAAAAAAATATAAATATGGGATCATGAAGATCTACTGACATCACAAGTTCTGTGAACAAACCATAAAAAATATTAAATTATTTTTAATGGTAAATAAATAAATAAATTGTTTAAAAAATTAAAAAATTAAAGGTTTATGTTCAGCCCCAGAAAGACTAAGACATATTTTTAAGCATTTACAGATTAAGTACTATTTCTGGCTATTGAATTTTTGTATTTTTAGCATCTGTTCATATTAATGTCTAGGGAAATGTTTTCTTCCTTAGCACTTTTGAAATCAGTTAATTCTCCTGAGAGGGTGGCAGAGTATAAATTATATTATAACCATTTTAACCTTAGAACTGAAGATCAAGCAATATGGCTTCTCAAATTTTGAGGACCAAACAGCTCAAAATAAAAATCAAGTATTAACTAATCTATTTATATGTCCATTTTAACCTTTTAAAGTGTATTTTTTTATAACATAGAAATATATGGTATCTGATTTAAACATAACAAATTGAAGAGCACTACCTGTTTTTTAAAGATGAGAAATAAAACTAGGTAAGTTTCTTGTAATAAAATCTTTCATCTTTAATTATGAGGATGTTTTCCAAGAGCTGATGTAGATTTGGTGAGAGTCAAGATAAAAGTAGAGGCTATCGCAAAGCAAAATGATCTGGATAGGCAACCTGCAGAAACTCTTTTTGTGTATTCATGTCAGAAAAAGAATCAGAAATTAATTTTATGTTAATGATATTAAATTAACTTTTGGAAAATTTTATAATTTTTATTAAAATTTTAATCCAATTGCTCTACTATATGATGCAGAAATAAAAGAATTACATATGAGTATTGATATAACATAGTATAGCATAGCATTACATGTGAACTTTTTTTAAAAAAACACTTGCTTTTTAAAAAATTATACACAAAAATTGTCTTAAAAAGAAGCCTGTGACTTTTCTTCAAAGGAAACTGTGAACAGATTCATTCAAAATGTGAGCATTTCAGAATTTCATATGACCTTGGCATATAAAGTGACTTTGAGTTAAATTATAGGAACAATGGATAAATACAGAACAAGGGAAGATATTTTTTGATTTATTAAGGTCATATTTAACTCAAGAAAATTCAAACATCTAATAAACAGCTTATCCAATTTTCATGCACTAAATTATTCTCTCACTTCTTAATTACATTATAAATCACCGAAGCAATTGTAGAATCCCATAAGGTTGGAAACAATTGCTATTTTAATAATTTGCAAAGAAATTTTTCATGGAATTAGGAAGAAAAACAATGTTCTTAAATTGATTGCAATAGTTTTAATTTACTTTTTAAAAAACAAGTTGTACCTTAATTTATGCTAGAGAACAAGAATAAATTTATATCCTTATATATTATGATAGTGTATATACCTCATCATTATTGATTAGTATTGTCTTATCCTTTTACATTCTAAAAATGCATCTTGTATTAAAAAATCTTACCAATAAGTATTAATTTTAGTTAAATGGCCAGAATATAGAGAGTTTAAAATTTAAATTAACTGACAAGATTCAGCAAAGGAAAGAAAATATGTAAGATTAATAAAGGAGAAGCAGGAAAAAATTTTAGTAGTAATAATTCATAATTATTTTAAATATTTGTATACTGCTTCAGCACCAAACCTGTAATAAAGAAAATGTTACTATCTAAAAATAACAATATGATAATAAATGTGAGGACATAGCTATGGCCTAGAAGGAAAGTTAAGAGATAAGAAACAAGAAAAATAAAATTATGCCAATCTTAGTCTATTGTTCTGTGTGATCCAGAAGAGAAATTGGACATAGACAGAGATGGCATCATAGACATAGGGAAAATTGTACAGATAAATGACACTAATATTAACTAGAAGACATGTCCAGATAACATAGTATATGTTAAAAAGTCTGTTTCTAAAAATCTCCTCTGTCATAATAAATATTAGTAAATAATGTTATAAAACATTACAAAAGTCATGTGAGAATATCCTTTGTACAGAAGAGAAAAGGAACTGAGAAGGGTGAGGGGAAAGAAAATTCAAAATTTCCAAAAGAAAGGGGGGCATGAATAAAATTTGTCATCAGGATTTAAACCATGAAATTTTCAAAATTTTGGTGAAGCTATCATTTCTATTCTATGTTTATATGAGAAAGATAATGATACTAAATTCATTGTAAATTTAAAAAATTTATAGTTCTTATGAAAAATTCCAGACTCTACTAAGAAGTGTAATAAACCCAAAGAAAGACATGTATCAGTGATGAATCTTATTTCTCAGCAAAATGAAGGAAATCATGAACTCTCCTGAAGTCAAAGATTATTCAAGATTTCTTGACATTCAATTGTTTTAAGACTTTCTATCAAGGACATAGTTTAGGTACTCTTTGCATTTTATTCTTAAGTCATGCTAAGTGAAATAAGAATGACAGATAATTGCTAGATGTCTTCACTAAAGTGTAGAATATTTACAATCCAGTGTAACTAGTAAAAGACCATAAACATCAAAACTGACTCAGACTCGATGAATGCCACAGAAGTTACTGGAGAGAGTGTGTCAAAGAAGTGTGTGTAGCAATGTTTTTGGTGATGGGGTAACACTGAACCTTTGTGGTGATTGTGACTCAATGTACATACAAAAGCATGAAGCTAATCATCTGAAACTTCCTAATATTATTAAAAAATGATCAATCAACAAAAATAAAAGATAATAAATGATTATTTAATACAAAAAAGGAAACAAGAGAGAATCTGTAACCAGAGACAGTAAAAGAATGAAGTAGGGATTGAGTTGAGAGTTAGCTCAAAAAGGTGGAGCCCATGTGATTCTTAAGCACCTCCAGGCCCTCAGTATAGACTAACAAATGCCATATCACTAGAACAAACACAGAAGTATTAGCCCAGCATTACTGGGTAAAGTACTGCTGCAGAGGCTTCTCTAAAATTGGTTATAAACTAAATAAGAAGAGGGAAATTAAAAGTATAGAAGTTAAACTACTCTACATAATTTTTGTGCCTTCATTTACGTCACAATATGTTTTTCATTCATTGAAACAGCTGAATTAATAAAAATAGGAAAGGAAAAAATGGGATTCCATTTTTGAGTAAGACAATTCCAAAATGAGTAAGATTTATATGAGTGTTTCTGAGATGCTAGTGAGGACTATCAGATGATTGAGGGTGGCTTAGCAAAGATAGTTCTGTGCTTAAAATTTCAAAACAGTAGCTATGTCACAAGCCTTTCCTCTCTTGATTCTTAAGTATTTCAATTATTATTTGTTCTTTTAAATAGAAGCCAGCTATGAGAAACCACACCACTGTGACCACATTTATTCTTCTTGGACTGACAAATGACCCACAATTACAGGTGGTAGTTTTTATCCTTCTGTTCTTCACCTACCTATTGAGTGTTGCTGGGAACCTAACCATCATCACACTCACGCTTCTGGATTCACATCTAAAGACACCGATGTATTTTTTCCTCCGAAATTTCTCACTTTTAGAAATCACATTCACAACTGTCTGTATCCCCAAATTTCTTGTTAGTATGGCTACAGGTGATAGAACCATTTCTTACAACAGTTGTGTAGCACAGTTGTTTTTCACTATTCTCTTGGGTGCAACTGAGTTTTTTCTTTTGGCCGCCATGTCCTATGACCGCTATGTGGCCATCTGCAAGCCCCTTCATTACATGACCATCATGAATGATAGAGTCTGCAATGTGCTGTTTTTTGCTTGCTGGTTGTCTGGTTTCCTGATGATTTTTCCACCACTTACTTTAGGTCTCAAACTTGAGTTCTGTGCAGGCAATGAGGTAGATCATTTCTTCTGTGATGTTTCACCTATGTTGCAGCTTTCTTGTACAGACACAAAAACAATAGAATTGATGGCACTTATATCAGCCATTTTGACACTCTTGGTTACCCTGGTGTTAGTGATACTCTCCTACACAAAGATCATCAAAACCATTCTAAAGATACCTTCTACTCAACAGAGGAAGAAAGCCTTTTCTACATGTTCTTCTCACATGGTGGTTGTGTCTATTTCCTATGGCAGCTGCATCTTCATGTATGTGAAGCCCTCTGCCAAGGATAGAGTGTCTTTAAATAAAGGGATAGCTCTGCTCAGTACTTCGGTGGCTCCTATGTTGAACCCCTTTATTTATACACTAAGAAACAAACAAGTGAAAGATGCCTTTAAGAATGTGATCAAAAGGATGGATGTTCTGTCAATGAAATGAACCACTTTAATGACATACTAACCTCTTGATTAAAATAAAACAATAAAATAGTGGGTCTGGAGAGACAGTATACCAGGTAGGGCACTTGCCTTTACATGGGGTCAATTGGCTTCAATTCTACACATCTCATATATTCCCCTGAGCATTACCAGGAGTAATTTTAAGTGTGGAGCCAGGAGTAACCCCTGAGCATCACTGGGTGTGATCCAAAAATTTAAATACAAACAATAAAATAAAGGGTTCATTACGTTGTTTCTGTTCAGTGTGAAATGCCATCTTTCTTTCTTTATTATTTTCAGTATGGGTTGTTTACTCTTCAGACATTACCTTTACCTTTTGCATGCTGAGGATGCATATGAAATATATTTCTTGTTTACTGTAAAGTTAAATTTCTTTCAAATAGAAAGTGCCCTTTAAAATTCCTTTCAGATTTTCTCAGATATATTTAGAGTTGGAATCCATTTTATCCATATTCCCTTTTAATACCCTGGAATTTAGAGATGTAATATGAATTTGAATATGTAATAGTGTACATGAAGTTACATGAAGTTTAGTTTAATATCTATAGTTGATTACCTAATGTTGGCTGAATCAAAGTTTGAAGTTTATTTCATAAATACTTAATATATTTTTAATTGACAGAGAAATTCATTTAGTAGCATTTGAAAATTTTGAGTTTTGATTGCTTTAAATTTTCCCCAGTTTTTGAAATAGAGGTAATTTTTAGAAATAGAATTAAGGAAATTCAGAATTGCTAAAGCATTATAGCCCTACAGGATTCAATAGAAATTTTATTTTAGTTTATCGACAATTTAATGTTTACAAAGCCTTTTTTTTCAAGCCTACCTGCCAGAAGCAGATGCTAGATCATTTATTTTCCATTGCTCATTTTGAGTATCATGAGAGTTTGCACAGCCGCGATTGTAAATGTAAATTTCTAGATTGTAAATAATTGGGTTCCAGAGACATCTCTGTATGGCACTAATACATTTTGGGATTCAATTGGGAGTCTCTGGGCCAGGGCTGTTGGTGTGCTAAGATGGTGCCCAAAGGCAAATTGCGGGCATGACAGCCAGTCTGCTGGGTAGACAGGGACCCGGGGAGGGACAGCCCAGGTCCTCTGTCACCATGCGGCCTGGAGATTCAGCCCTGGAACCCGCATACCTGGGCCTTGCTTGTGGAAGCTCTTGGTCACCGGGATTCCATCTGGAGTAGGCGGGGAGACTGCACCTGCTCCATCTGGGGTGCCCCGGTGAAATTGGCTCAGTATGGGGACTGGAGAGATCTCCGACACTGTGGTGTCTTCTGGAACTCAACAAAGCCTATATTTAAATATATAATTTTATTTATATGTACAAAACCTTACGAGGCAGGAATCATCTTATGTATTTTTTTCTAACAAAAAAACCACATACTTATAAAAATATGGCCTATAATACTAATCATATATATTTATTAATTATGTAATACTGTTTCATTTATCTTTTATAGATTGTTACCAAAATTGGATAGCAATAATTCTGACTCTTTTTCTCTTAAGAGCTAACTACGCACTGATACCTATATAAAGAACTAGAGCAATTTTAAGGAACAATATAAGTAAATTAAAGCTTTAAAGAGATAAATTTGTACTTGTTTCTCCTAAGAGACTGAAACATTAAAAAGTTGGTATAGTTAAATTCAAAGCAAAATATCCTGACCATATTTCTAGAGTTAAATAAAATCTTAATGTGATCAAAACAATTCAAGAAACACTTTAGATTTTCCTATTGAATATTAATTTTCTCACAACAAAATTTGTGACTATGAGTTTCAGAGGCATAAGATTATTATTTTGACATTTCAAATCATCATACAAGTCAATACCAGTATTTTTATAAGAAAAATAGACTTCCAAGATAGCAAGGTATTCAAACTAAATTAGTGACCTCTGGCAAGATAAATACATTTAGTACAGTGGGTAGGGCTTTTGCCTTGCACATGACCAAATCATGTTCATCTCTGGCACCACATATGGTCCCTTGAACCCTGTTAGGAGTGATCCTGAATGTAGAGTCAGGAGTAAGCACTCAGCACTGCACGTGTTGCCCCCCCCCAAAAAAAAACAAACAATAAGAATAAAGATGAATGCATTTTATCTAAACAATTATAAAAAAAAAAAGCATTCAGAAGAAATGTGATATGTGTAAAATAGGAAGTAGTGTAAATGATTTTTGTCATTATTATTTTTAAAGAATATTTCATTCATAGCAGAAAATGACATGTTTACCCAAGGGGCTGAGGAGGGGGTTGAAAAATGCACTCTGTGGGGCCAGAGAGAGTACAAGGATTAAGGTGTTCACTTTGCATGCTGCTAAGGACCAATCCCTGGCTCGACATACACCCTCCTACCCCCACTTTACACTAGGAGTGACCAGTGAGCACAGAGAGGAGGGAAACCCCAAGAATCTCTGGTATGGCCCCAACATTTTTAAAAAGCCCCTTCAATTTTACTTTTTTAAGTTTTATCTTTCACAAATACATCATATTTTGTTTTACTCTGTATTCTCTAGCCCTGTGTTAGATTTTTAAAGCTGACATTTGTGTATCTATTGCTGCCATTTCTGAAGTTCCATTGTCACTAGGTCATAAAGGTGACAAAATAATGGCAGTCATACTTCAAAATATATGCTGAATCAATATTAAGGAAACAGAAGATATAGCTCTGAGCCTGCTCTTGTAGCAATGACACAAAAATATGTGTATGCCTGAATGAAATGCAGAATCCACATGGGACCTCATGAGAAAAGCCGCTGGACAAACCAGACACCTAACTGGGGGTTTTACTGTTGCTCCATGCAGGGCCATACTGATTTATTTTTATCTGAGGACTGCATCCCCATTGGGGGAGCTTGGGGCCGATATGGTGAAGTAGAAACTAAAACCTCTCAGAACTTTGCACTGAGAGAAGGGACAGTCAAACCAATCATTGACAGCAAGACTTAAAACTCACTCGACTGTTAGGCTGCCAGAAACCAGACTGGACTCTACTGTGAGCAAGAAGGCTTTACTAGAAAAGATTATGGGGTGGGCAGTCAGAAGCCTCACTGGAAAGGACAGGGTGCTTTCTTTAGATAGGCATAGCTATATGTTTGGGTCATTGAGGGAGGATACTCTTTCTTTCTTTCTTTCTTTCTTTCTTTCTTTCTTTCTTTCTTTCTTTCTTCCTTCCTTCCTTCCTTCCTTCCTTCCTTTCCCTTCCTTCCTTCCTTCCTTCCTTCCTTCCTTCCTTCCTTCCTTCCTTCCTTCCTTTCTTTCTTTCTTTCTTTTCTTTCCTCCCTCCCTCCCTCCCTCCCTCCCTCCCTCCCTCCCTCCCTCCCTCCCTCCCTCCCTCCTTCCTTCCTTCCTTCCTTCCTTCCTTCCTTCCTTCCTTCTTCTTTCCTTTCTCTCTTATTCTTTCCTTTCTCTCTTTTCCTTATTCTTTCCTTTCTCTCTCTCTTTATCTTCCTTCCTTCCTTCCTTCTTCCTCTTTCTTTCTTTCTTTCTTTCTTTCTTTCTTTCTTTCTTTCTCTCTTTTTCTTTCTTTCTTCATTTCTTTCTTTCTTTTTCTTTCTCCTTCCTTCCTTCCTTCCTTCCTTCCTTCCTTCCTTCCTTCCTTCCTTCCTTCCTTTCTTTTCTATATGGAATCACCGTGAAATTCAGAGTTAAAAAGTTGTTCATATTGTCTGGCTTTCAGTCAGACAATATTCCAACACCCATTCCTTCACCAGTGTACATTTTCTACCACCAATGTTCCTCCTGTCCCCCCCCCCCCCGCCTGCCTCCTGCCTGCCTCTATGGCAGACCCTTTACTTATTTCTCCTTTGGGCATTTTGGATTTCAACACAAGTACTGAAAACTGAAAGTTTACCATGTATATCCCTTTACCTATTTTACCTGCTTGCAACATTTAGCGCATGTGATCAGTTCCAACTATCATTGTCATGGTGGTACCTTATCTAACCTAAATGCCCTCCCCAACAAATTCTGGCAAGCTTTCAACAATGGATAAGTTCTTCTGACCCTCAATTATACTGTTCTTGTGTATTAGTCTCATGTTATGTTTTTGATATCCCACAAATGGGTGCAATCATTCTATGTCTCTGACTTCTGGCTCATTTCACTCAGCATGATACCCTCCATATCCATAAATACATAATCAATTCTCATACTTCATTTTTTCCTGGAAGCTGCATAGTATCCCATTATGTAGATGTATCATTGTTTCTTTATCCAATCTTCTGTTCTCAGGCATTTGGGTTGTTTCCAGATTCTGGCTATTGTAAACAGTGTTGCAATAAACAAAGAAATGCAGATTTTTTTGTGCAGTGTGTTTGGACCCCCAGGTTTTATCTCCAGGAGTGGTATTGTTGGGTCATATGGGAGCCTAATTTCAAGTTTTTTGAGAAATACTTATTTTTGTCTGCCAATATGCTGGACCAGTCGGCATCCCACCAACAATGAATGAGAATTCCTTTCTTCCAGCATCTGTGTCAGCACTGGTTGTTCTTGTTCATTTTGATGTGTGCCAGTCTTCCAGTGTTGTGTTGTGAGCTAATGTTTCATAAATGTTGTTTTTTGATTTGAGCCTCTTTGATGATTAGCGATGTAAAGCATTTTCTCATGAGCTTTTTGGCCATTTATATTTCTTCTTTGAGGAAGTTTCTGTTCGTTTTTTCTCCCCATTTATTGATGGGTTGTTTTTTTTTTCATGCAAAGTTCTACCAGTGCCAAATATATATTTGATATCAACTACTTATCAGTTGAGTTTGGGTAAATAATTTTTTCCATCCTGTTGGATATCTATATATCCTGGTTGTAGTTTCCTTCGAGGCTTCTTGGTTTAATGTAGTCCCATTTGTTTATCCTCGCTTTCACTTGCACGGTCAGTGGTGTTTGTTTCATCTTTGAAGATGCCTTTCTTCAATATCATGGAAGATTCTGACTAGATTTTCCCTATGTCCCTTATGGATTTAGGTCTG